GGAACTGTGCCCACAGGGCTACAAAAACGTACACACCTTTGACCCAGCAATAGCACTTCCAGGGCTGTGTCCCAAAGAGATCATAAAAGTGGGAAAAGGACTCACATGTGCAAAAATATTTATAGCAGCTCTTTTTGTGGTGGCAAAGAATTGGAAATTGAGGGAATGCCCATCAGTTGGGGGATGGCTGAACAAGCTGTGGTATATGAATGTAATGGAATACTATAGTGCTATAAGTAACACAGTAAACAGTCATGTTGTATAATGACTAATATTGATAGACTTAACTCTTCACAGCAATACAAGGACCTAAGACCAAAGGCCTCATGATGGAAAATGCTATCCACATCCAAAGAAAGAACCATGGAATTTGAATGCAGATCGAAGCAGACTATTTGCTATTTTTTTCTTCTGTTGTGTTTTGTTTCCTCTTTCTGGTGGTTCCTCCTATTGGTTCTGATTCTTCCTTACATCATCACTAATGTGAAAATATGTTTAATAGGAACGTATAGGTAGAGCCTATATCAGATTGCACGCTGTCTAGGGGAGAGAGGTGGGGAGGGAGGGGAGAAAAATTTAAAACTCAAAAGCTTATGGAAGTGGATTGTTGATAATTCAAAATAAATTAATTAAAACATTTTTTTTTTAAAAAAAGACTTTCTGAGTGGGTAGAGGGTAGGGGAGAACAGGAATATTGTCTTGAAGCATTTAAGGGCCTCTCATGGGAGAGGGGTCAGCTTTGTTCTGACCGTCAAGGGTCCAATTTAGGCCAGATGTCAGGTGTTCTCCAGGGAGGTAGTAAGCTGTTCTAGCAGTTTTCTAAACTCTTTTTTGGGGGGTCAAGGCAATTAGGGTTAAGTGACTTGCCCAGAGTCACACAGCTAGTGACTGTCATGTGTCTGAGGCTGGATTTGAACTCAGGTCCTCCTGACTCCAGGGACCATGCTCTGTCCACTGCGCCACCTCGTTGCCCGTGTTCCAGCAGTTTTCAAGCAGAAGCTGGACCTCCCCTGGTCCATGCTGTCGAGGGGGGGATCCTTGTTCAGGTGGGGTTGCAGTAGCTGGCTGCTCAGGGCCCTCCCAGAGCTGCGATGGGGGGGGGGGACAGAAAGGACCACCCAAGCCCGTTCCCTAAAATGGATGTGGGCTGGCTTCCTCGCTCCCATAGCCCCAACTCCTCGCTCGGCGCCCATTATTTCTGGGGAGCGGGGACCGAGTGAACTCGGGAGGCGATGAACAGGCTGCCTGGCCCCCAGGTGGGCGAGTGGCCAGGGCAGGGATGAAAGCGCCCTTCATGGCCGGCACAAAGGACCCTCTGTGAGGCCCAAGTGTGAAGGGGCATGGAGCACCGTGGTCAGGCTGAACGTTAAACAAACTTGTTTACCGAAAGAAAAGGGGCTGGGTGTGCATGTGGGCGCTCCCCCTCACAGCCAGAGGAATGCCACCAGCTCCCCACTTGCTCTGGCCTGCTCGGATCGGAGTGTGAGGTAAGGCACAAAATTTCCTTCTTTGGCCAATGAAGCCCAGAGCCTGCAACAGCTCAGGGCCCACGGCACCACGGCACCTTGTCCTCACCTGCCCTGTGCTCCCTCCTCCTCCACCTCCTTGTCACCCTCCAACTCCACTGTGGCCCTGCCCCCTAGGTCACCCCCAAGCCATCAGGGCCTCCAGCCTCACCACCCGCCCTGGGGTCTTCTCCATTAGACTCTGCCACTGAAAGTGTCCAGGAGGAAAGGTCAGAAAACCAGTAGCAGCAGCGCAAATGAGGGCCTCAAAGGTGCTCTGACATCTGCTCAGCCCGGGCCCAGCTCCATAGGAAGGGGGGTAGGGGAGGGGGGAGGCGTCCACCTAGGAAGCAGAGTCACAAGGAGCTCCACGGAGACCTCTTGTGAAGGCGGCCGTCAGACTAGATTCTCTAGTTATCATCAACCCTGGACAGCCCAGTGGGAGGACAGGGTCTAGACAGGCCCAAATGGACTCTTAAAAACAATTCCTTCATTTGGCTTTGCCCAGAACCTCATGCGTACACCACGGCAGAGCCACAGACTTTACAACCCTCGGCCCTGTGAGGTGGGCTCATCCTATCGGCAAGGCAAGACTGACTGCAGTTAGAGGTCCCAGCAAGAATCGATCAGCAACAATGGGAGGCTGGGCTGTACCCAGGAGGAGGAGAAGCAGAGCAGGGGGGCCTGGGCTCGAATGCTCTGCTGGCAACACCTGCCTGGGCAAGTGGCTTCCCCTGGGGGGCCTCCGGACCCTCATCTGGCCAGACGTATCCGGGGCTCACTCAGTTGGGATGGAGAGGGCAGCTCCTCAGGGATTTAAGCCCCAGGACCAGCTACTTTCCTTTCTGATAGACGCCCTCAACCCAGGCCAAATCTATTCCTGCCCCTGGAAAAACAACTCAAGGTATGCTGTAACACAGATCAACAGGGCTTCACAAAAAGGAAGCAACCCGTGGAGATAGGCACGCCCACATTTACCTGCATTAATAAAACATACACCATTTATGTAGGTCAGGACAGTGAGAGGTGAGAGGGTGATCTCACAGGTGAGAGCTGGTCTCAAAGGCAGGAAGACCCGAGGGTCAAGCTTCCCCTGACACTGCTGACTGGGTGACTGCCGACGCCCCAGGAAACCCCTCACGTTATAAGTTGTACAAAGTGCCAACTTGCACAGACCTGGGGAGTTCTCATCACCTGGAAGGCCTGGGTATGAATGAAATCACATGACTGGCCCCCATCCCAATCCATGAAAATAGGCAGTGTGCCCTAAGGGTCGAGGGGCCACCCCTTTAGATCCAAATCAGAAAGACTGCATATGACTGACTCGGAGTTGGGAAGATCTGAGGTTAAAACCTGCCTTAGACAATTCACTAGCTGTGTGAGCCTCAGCCTCAGTGCTCTGATCTGTAAAATGGAGGAGGTGAGTTGTCAGAACTGAAGGAGATGAGTTATGGAAAGCCCTTTGCAAACCTTGGGGTTTTACAAACGTGAGTCACTGTTATTCATAATAACAAGCATTGCTGTGCAGTAGGCCTTCTTATTAGAGACTGCTTTAGCCAATGAAATCACAGACCTACAAGGCAGGCCAAACCCGATACGATACAGACAGCATTTAGAAGGCTTCCACGATGTTTTAACATTTGTAAAACACAGGCCCAGAAGATACGGGATGGCAGCTCTCCCAACTCTGCCCTGCTGCTTTGCTGACGTAGGGGAACGTGGATGTAGAATGCTATGTTATCAAAGTTCACCAATACGTGGGTTTCTTTTGGTAAAATATTTGCCCCCCCCATTTTTCTTCACTCTAGATTACATGAGCTTGCTCTCTGCCAGTGGGGGAGATGTGGTAATGTGGGAAATGTGTCATAAAAACAAAGGAAGTTAATCAAATTTATTTTTTAAAAAAACTCTGAGAGGTGGATGCTCTAAGTCCTATTATTGCCATTTTACAGATGAGGAAAGCAATTTGAGTACGGTCACCACCGTCCTCAGCTACAAACACCTCCAGCCGCATGTACTCGGCTGGTGGTGCCCTTGTCCCCACTTTGGTCCTGACCCTGGCTGAGGACAACGAACACAGATGGGTGCTGTCTGAATGACTGGGAAACACTCAAAGCTGTAGCAGAGGAAGCAGGTTTGCACTTAGCTGGCATTAGCTACAGCGCCAGCAGCTCTGGCTCCAGGTATCTCACGGGGCCTTGGGATCTTAAAAACCTAGGTTCAGAGTCAGGTGAGTAACTCTGGGCAAACTAATAGTCCCTTCAGTTTCATTAATTCTACCCCAAGGTAGCTGGAGTGGGTTGTCTCTAGGGCCCTTTCCAGCTCTGCCATTTCGGGACCTCCTTATTTACCGAGGGTTGTTCCAAAGAAAGATGTTCCCGGTGAAATGCTAAGGTTGTCACACTGCCGTATTGAGGCCACCATTACACCGAAATACTATGGGGCTTTGCACAGGTGGCCCCAGACTGACCCTCCACCAAGAGATCTGGGTCCTACCCTCCAGGAGTCAATGACAGACTGATCGGTGATGGAGGGAAGAAGAAACCATCAGGGAAATGCCACACACATATATGTATATATTTATAACAGGGACAAACTCAGACAGAAGCACAGCACGTACGTGAAGCTGAACAGTACGAATCACTGTCTCTAAACAGTACTTCTGCCCTCCCCGGGTCTTTCCAAAGGCTAAGGTGAACACCTCTAAAAACTAAAAGCACATTTTCTCACCATCTAACTCTTCACCATCTGACACCATCTAAGCTCTTGTGACACAGGGTCAGAGCACGTACTTGTATTAACAGAAATTTCAGGAAGAGCATAGCCTTCTTTCAGCAAATCTGTGATCCATTCCTGCCTGGAAAGTTGTCTGCCATAGTCCTTATTGTCCGAGGGCTTCAGGATTCAGAGCCCCAGATTAGGACCAGGTGTCTGCAAACTCGCCACCCTCTCCCATGTTACCACTCCTCCTTCCAGAGCCTTCTCTCCCTCTCAGCCAGCTGAGAACAATAGAACAAGGCCAGACCTCTACTGCTAACAGGCTTCCCGTGAACCCCCAGTCACACATGGGCCATTCACCTCTCTGCAGCTGTTCTTCCTTCCCTGAAATGATTAATAATAATAACAGCTCGCGTTTATAGAGCATTTTCACACAGATAAAGGGCTTTCCACATATCTCTATGGCTATGGCAATGCCACTAACTGATGAGATTCCCAGGGGCACAGTTAAGATGGAACACAGTCAACAAGCACGTTTGGAGACTCCTTCAGCACCCTCAAAAGAAGCTGCTGCTCACCTTTTTCCAGACAGCCTCCTTCAGCTGAGATATTCTGGTCCATTCCTATACTTCACATTATCACTGTGAAATTTCCAACACACGTGCCCCCTGCCTTTTGTACTGACCTCCAACCCCCAGTCAATTCTCAATTCGAGGACCAGGGAGGATGGAGCCCTTGGAGGATGGAGAAAGATTGGAAACAAAGGTTCATTCTTACCTGTGAGAACAGCAGGGGCAAAGGCTCCTGACATCACAAAGAAGACCAGGCAGGCGATCCTAGAACGAGCCATCCTTCTGCTTCTGCGGGAGACGGCTCTGGCTTGGACTTCAGGGCAGGGGGAAGAAAGTGTCAGGAAGCTTGAAGAGTCTGCTTCAATGCCAACCCTGTCCAATTGGCTCACAAATTCCTTCCTCAGAGAACACACATGCGCACGCGCGTACACACACACACACACACACACACACACACACACACACACACACACACACACACACACACACACACACACACACACACACACAGAGCAGACCAGCTCACTGACTGACTTACCAAGAAAACCAGCTTTCTTTCAGCCAGGGAGCAGCTCCACCCTTGGGATAGTAAAAGGAGGGGGGAAAAAATCACACAATCTCACACACACACACACACACAGTCCCTAAGCTTCAAACCAGTTTAGTTATTTTGATGAAAACTCTCACAAAGGGATTAGGCAGCTTGAGGGAAGTCCTGGGCTCTGACGAATTGGAAGGGGGTGGGGAGAGAAGACCCTACCACCTCTGTTCCTCTGCCTCAGGGTAGGGCCCTTGCTAATCCAATTGAAGAGATAAGAACCTCTGACTGTCCCCATCTCCAGGGTTCTGTCTCAGAAATGGCCCTAGGAGGCAGTGAGATGTGGAGGCCCAAGCACTGAACCAAAAAGCCGGCAATTCATGGCTGTGTAACCTTAGCACAACTTAACCTCATCCTGTTTACTTCTGTACAAAAATAAGGAATCTGCACCAGTCTCTAGGATGTCTTTTTCCTGCAACAAACATTTTATTTCTTTATTCCAACATTACTCCCCATTGGTCCTAGATGTTAAGCTGGAAGAAGCCCCAGAGCTCATTTGTCCCAACTCTCTCCTTTTACAGATGGAGGCCCAGAAAAGGGAAAGGACTTGACCACAGTCACACAGGTAGACTCTGACCCAGACCCACTGACTCCACAGTGCCACACTTGACACCCACTGACATTCTTCTACCAAAATCATATATGTCAGGGAACCAGGAACGCAATACTAAAAACCTAAGAGAGGGCAGCCGTGGGTGACGGAAAAGAAATGCATGCACAGGGCACTGCCTCACTTCAACCCTTCCAAAGGTCTGCCCTCTTTCAGCATTCAGGCTGAAAGCTGAGATGAGGATGGGAAGGTTGGTTTCATCAGACCTGCCGGAGCTCCTGGCATCTGCCACCTCTGGAGGAGGGGAAACCAAGGCTGAGAGGAGGAGGACAAACATGCAGGAAGGCAGGAGCATTAGGAACTGAGGCGAAACAAGTTTCCTGGACATCCAAAGCACACAAGGATTCTGGAGACAGGGATGAGAACACTCCCGCCCTACCTGACTTCGAGATCATCTTTCAGACACTTCAGGCAGAGTCTCTCTCTGACACCTGAACGTGGGGCCGACATCCTGACCCCTTCCTTCCTCAGCCTGCCTGCTTCCTGCTGACGCTGACGCCAATCTAGAGGTGATGGAGGCTACCCTGGTCTCCATTTTTCCATACAATAGTTCCAGATAAAGCCTTCATATTTCTTAAAAAGATGACATCTCTATCCTCAACCCTCCACAAAAGGAGGTCAGACTTTACAAGCCAAACCTTAGGCAGAAGTTCTTGGTGGGGAAGTGAGCTGGAAATCCTTACTGCCTCATTGATGAAAAACAGAAATAAGTCTTCCACCTCGACAAAGAAAAAGCTCCCAATTCTGCCCCACTTACAAACTCGCTCATTCCATAATTCAGAGACTCTGCTGGAAAAAAACTGTTTCCCACAGCCAGATCCAATGGTGAATCAGCTTCTGGCATTCCCTTCCTGGTGACAACTGTTGGTATTTCTATAGAACCACATCTAGGATGAACGTGCATCATCTCTCATTAGCTCTAATACCAATCTCTTTCGGGTGAGTGATTCAGCTTTCCTTTATTTCCTTTTCCAATCCAACCGCTGCTGCTCCCCTCAATACTCCAAGTGTAGCATTAATTTCCTTACGTGTGAAAGACAATGTGGCTTTCTGGATAGAGACATGGTCCTCCAGTCAGGAAGACCTAGGGTCAAGTCTCCTGCTTGTGTGACCCTGGATAAGTCTCTAAGTAACACAAAAGGTGCTACCTGCACCGGTAGAAGGGACTTTCTCCATCCGGGAGTATGCCACACCAGTAAAATCACAGGTCCATATTGTCTTCCCAGCACTTTCAAGACTTACTGCCCAAGGGGTAATTGACGAGTTACACTGAACTGAATCACGATGACACCAACAGACCTAGGGTTTCCATTCAATTCAGTCAGTCTCATCTAATGTCAGAAAAAAACACCCTCAACAATTTCCTGGAAACACCCTTTTCTCAACCTTCCTCAGCTCGTCCAAGCCTGTGGTTCCTCAGGCAACCTGATCAGAGCACAGAGGCAGAATGACAAGTGCCTTGGGTCTCGCACTGCTTTGACTCCTGCTACAGATGGCGTCCATAACTCTGGACAGCTACCCTGAAAACAAGGACTCAGAGGTGGAGACAGCACCTACTCTACGCTAGGCACTGCACTGAGCACTTCACAAATATTACGTCACTTGATCTTTACAACAGCATTCCCACCGTAAGAGCTGAGGAAACTGAGGCAGAAGTTCAATGAGGCTTAAAATCACACAGCCAGTAAGTGTTTGAGGTCACATTCGAATTCAGGTCTTTCCAACTCCCAGCCCTGCACTCTACCGCACCACCAAGAAAGTATCACTGAGGCAGTACAAACCTACACTGCTACTGGAAAAAGGAAGAAGGCCCTTGAATATGGGTAAGCAGCACCATCACTACCGAAGGTAGCAGGGCATATTATCTGATGCCATGGTTCAGCAGCTTGGGCCAGTCACAAAGCAGAGAAGAACAAAAGTCTGGCTTAAAGTACCTGCTATGGCATGCCCAGAAAAGTGCTCCTTCTTCTAGCTCAGAAGTTTTCCAACGGCAGTACAAGGTTATGACTCAATTGAGATATTCTTACCCCTCGGTGAATTCAGAGGGGAAGGATTACTTTTTGGATCTTTAGGAGTGAGTGGGGAGAGCTGCTTCTGTCAGCAGGTTGGAGCTGCCCCACCACCCTTTGTGGATACCCTCTGGTTAACACTGTGATTTCCACCAGTGGCATCTGTAGCACACAGTACTTTGTTAAAGTCCTGGAGAAGCCCACAGGCCTTCACTGCTTCCACCAGGAGATTATCAACTTGAGGTCCCAAACTTAGGAAATGACCTCGACCCCCATTCCTAAGTGTTTAAGATATTTGAAAACTGCCCCTAGCCTGAATCCCCAACTAAATCTCATCTTTTTGTTACTACTTACTGTGCCTGGAACGAGCAAACCTGCTCATCCCTTCTGGACCAAACTCGAAGACTCCTGGGGGGAGCACATCTCTAGAAACACGCTGAGGCTGGAGGGGAGCAGAGTGGTCTCGCTACAGATTCCACACACAGTGGGTTTTGTACTTTTATTAACTCAACAGCAGAGAGGCGCTTTGTACAAAAATAAATATGTCCATTTCTCACCAGGTTAGAATACATTGCAAGGTAGGTCAAACTCGATGCATAAATTAACAATGATTTCCTTGAAATGAAAACAAATTGTAAAAACAACCCTGAAACGTCCCTAACTGTACTGAAGTAGAAAACTCATTTAGCTTACAGTGAATGAAGTTCCTTGACTTGACAGTGAGCAGAGTAAACTCATTTCCACCCATCTTCTGATCGTCTTCGGTTTACCTGGCAGAGGCAGCATGGTGTATAGTAAGCAGAGAGCTGAGCTTGGAGTCTGAGGACCCAGGTTCAAATCCCAGGCCTCCTGTTTTAGTCCCTAATGTGACACTGAGCCAGTCACGGGACCTCTCTGATCCTGGTTCTTCCTCTGCAAAGGGCTGGACTCAATGGTCCCCTGAGGTCCCTTCTAGCCCAGATCTGAGGATTTCTGAGAGTTGCACGGGAAGTTTTTCCATAAAAACACCCTGGGACAAGCAGCGAGGAAGACGACAGAGTATAAAATGGAAACGAAGAGTACGTTTGAGCTCATAAAGTGAGTGTCCCCCAGGAGAGCATAATTACGTACGCTGTAAGCTGGAGGGCAGGTGGGCTGTTCCAGACAAAACAGAAAGACAGACATGAGCAGATGAGAGGCTGAAGAGTCCAAGGTCAGAGTGGTCTTTCTCCAATGTCTGCTAGAAGGCTGTTCAGGTACAAGTGAGTTCGCTTGTTTTCAAGAGCGGGAATAAAGTGTCTGATGAGTTGAGTGACTCATTACTGAAGAACCACCTTTGTTTTCTAATTTTTCATCTGTTACAAAAAGGGGAGATGGGGGAGTCAAATTTCAGACTCTTGGGTGAGTACACGCCTGGAAAAAGAGAGGCCTGGAAAGAGGAGAGGCTAGAGGTAGGGGTACACTCACAGGTGTTTGGTCAAATATTTCCAATCTAACTTACCGGTGTTTATTTCGAGCTCTCAAAGCAGAAACACCACCAACATTAACATTCCCCAGAAAGGCAGCGAGTGGCGACTGTCTCCGGGTGCTGAGTGCTGTTTGTGGCTTCTCCATGAAGCTGAGAGGAGAAAGGGCCTTTTGGATGGACTTTACTCTTGGAAGTGATGGATTGTAAAAGTCAGCCTCAACAAAAGCAAGCACAAAATGCCCTCTTAGATACAATACAACTGTTTTTATTTATTTCTCATTTTTTTCCTCCACACTGGCAAAAGTTCCGAGGGAGCTTAAAGTTTTGTAAACATTTTAACTATCCCTCTTTCCCCCTTTACGAATTTACAAAGCAAAGGAGAGCAGGAGCCCAACTGCGGATGGTGCCCCGTTTCCCCATGCCACTGGATCCAAAAACTATATACACGTTTGCAGCAGTCTCTGTAGAATTAACTGTACATGTTCAGGAGGGGGCGGGGATAAGAAGGGCGGTGTTCTCAAAGAATAAAAATAAAACAAACCAACTAAAATCATTCCAGCCTCTTCTTCAGGCAATGATGGCAGGGAGAAGAGAGGAGAGGAGAAGGTGCCATCTTCCCACAGAGCCACCCCAGCAGCTGCGGCCCTTTCTCCCGCAGGCACACTCCGACCGTTCCCAAAATGTGGGAGGAGAAAGGAGAGGTCAGAAACTAAGTGCAATGGGCAATTTCAGGGGGTGGGGTTTGTTCTGGGGGAAGAGGGCTCGTTGAACTCTTGGCAGAAGCAAAGCGAGTCCAAGGGTTCCTTTTCCAAGTGAAGCCGATTACATCTGGGTCTGAAGGGAAGGACCATAAGGGAACCCCAACCAGCCAGGCTTTCCTTCTGCCCCCACCTCCCTTCTTCCCACC